CCCCCCCTACCCCCTGGCCCAGCTCAGTCTTCAGTAGCAGCCCCACCTCCTCCTGGCCCACCACCACCTCCTCCACTTCCACCTTCAGGGCCGCCGCCGCCACCACCACCACCTCCTCCACTTCCTAGCCAAGTTCCTCCCGTTCCCCTTCCACCTCCTGCTCCCCCCCTCCCTGCCTCTGGATTTTCAGCGGGATTTGTCTCTGAAGAAAATCGCCCTTTAACTGGACTAGCAGCTGCGCTTGCTGGAGCCAAACTTAGGAAAGTCTCACGGGTAAATGCAGCTCTCTTTGTTTCTTTTTCCAATTCCTGTCTCTAAATCCTGTCTTGCTGAACTGGTTGTAATTTTTGTTCAAGATTAATAGCACTATCAAGACTTTTGGAATAGGCTTAATTCATTATTAAAAAAGCATTACAGGATGTACTGCCAGCCCATCACATTCTTTATACAGTTGTTTCTTTCTTGTCTGTGAACTTTGTTTCTTACATTGTCAGCTATCATTTTATTTGCACATCTACTTTACGTAGTACATGTACTACTAAATGTACTACAAATACATTTTGCGTATTATGAAGGGTGAAGACTCCTCCAGTTCAAGTGGAGGAGGAGGAGGAGGCAGCTCTGCTTCATCTAAAACAGACAGTGGCCGTGGAAATGGACCACTTCCCTTGGGAGGCAGTGGGTTGATGGAAGAAATGAGCGCCCTGCTGGCCAGGAGGTAAGGAGCTGTTCCTGTGCTCTAGCTGCTTGGTCATCATAGAGGTAGGATTTTGGGTGCCTGTTTTCAGCTGGCTAAGGATCAAATAAACATCGGCTTGCTTTTGTGGTTGCTTTGCGAAGCTGATAACGTTTTGTGAGTAGCTGTTTTTACTTGAGTGTAATCGAGTACTTCTGTGTAAGTCTTTGTGCGGCAGTAGGGGAGGGGATACAGACTGCAAGAGGAGAAAGAATTGCACAGTTGCTTTGGCAGGAGGGCTTTGTCCTTGAAAGTACTTTGAAAGTACTTTTTTTAAACATTAATTTTCAATTACCTCGCTATCGAGCTGTATATGTCTTTAATTACACTAAATGACATTCTTCCATCTTAAAGCCATGATGATCTTGGTAACTTTTGTCTCTGCTTATAGGAGAAGAATTGCTGAAAAGGGATCAACAGAACCAGAGCAGAAAGAAGATAAAACTGTGAGTTGAGAAATTTTATCTACTTCATGTTATTCAATACGAGATTATGAGAAAGATTCTAATGGTGTACATGAGAGATTATTTACACTTTACCATATATATATACACACATAACCACTGTTACAAACACACACATAACCACTGTTTTGTGCAGTGCATGGTGCTTGCACATTTTATACATACCATTGAGCAGAACCATTTAAATCTATATAAAAAGTGAAACAAATATTTGAACAGTTGAGATTAATCTGTTAGATTCACAAGAGTCAAAGGTGGTTTTGTTCTCTCTTCCTCCTCCCTGCCTTCTCTCTCTTTTGTCCCTTTAATCAGGAAGAATCAGAGTCTTCAACTTCTAAGGTTTCTTCAACAAGCACACCTGGTAAGTAGGACAGGTTTGTGAACTCTGACTCTATAATGCTAAAAACCAATGACAAATATCAGTCAGCTGTGCTGAGTTTTGGAGCCTGCCTCTTTTCCCATGATTACAGCCTGGCATTTTCCTGTAGAATGGGTCCTGGTTCAGAAGTGTTTCAGAAAATGACAGATAAAAAGAGCATCCACTGGAACACTGCGCTTGGTACAGGGTCATGTGTCAAACCTATGGGGCTGATACATGAAAAGCCGTTGGTAGCGAATGTGAAAGCAAGTTGTCTCAGTCATTGCAGGACGCAAGTTGGGACTGTAGTTTCTTCCCTTCAAGGCAGACGTACAAGACTATCAGAGTCAGACAGAAACAGTTGCCGCTTCCAGGTACTTCGGTAAAGATTCCCTCACATGCAAGTGTCCTTTCTAAATCAATATAAGTGCATGGAGTAGAAATTCTTTAACCGTTATTCTTCTGCCGAGGTATGCTTGTGGCAGAGTTGGGGACTGTGTAGCCAACACTTCTGCTGCAGTCAGTAAGGAAAGCTTACATCTCGCCTATTCTGTAGTTGGCCAAGATGTATTGTCAGCATGCATATGTATTCATACTGTAAACGCTTGTGTTACAAGGACTCAAGTGACACTCAAGACTTTCTTTTCGTGTCCTTTAGTAGTACCTTCTTGTACTCTTAGCTTCCCTGGCCACCTCCCACTACATACATACAAAAGGGAGAGGATGTGCCATATAACCTGCAGTTTGTCATCCCAAAAGATACTGGAAGCAGAAGGCAGAAGGAAGGCATTTATTTTGATACATTTCAACTCTGTTAAGGAGCTGTACTCTCTCTCTCTTCTGTTGCTTACAGGGAGAGTTACACCATGATTACTTACACGTATTAGTCCTTTTCTGTATATGGTATATTCCTTTTAGGGGAAGAAACGCACAGTCACATAAAGCTAAGTAAAACCTAAGTTAAAACATGTTAGGTAATAATATAAACAAAACAAGCTCAGACCCATGGGATAGGCAACAGATACATGACCATTGGATAATGTTGCTGTTTCAGCTAGATAAGGATAATCATGTGGTCCTTGACCAAGCTGCAGCCATAGCAAAAGTTTCTCAGTTTTGCAGATAAAATCGTGCTGAAGTAACTCCTATGGCAGCACAAGTCTGAAGCCTGGTATATCAAATTAAGCTTAAGACTTATTACTAGCACTGGCAACCTGTAGTTGGCTGAGTCACAGGCTATGCTAGCAGACTTCTGCAATTCAGATACTCTTTTCAGTATCTAGCTGCATCCCAGAGAACTCCCTGGTCAATATGAGACTCCAAAAGGGCATTTCTGCCTCTCAGCTTGCCCAGCTTAGCAGAGCTGAGCAATACAAAAGAAAGGGAACAAAACAAACAAATCCCAAATCTGAAATGAAGACTGATAAGATCAGTGGCACATTAAAGTCCTGAGTCATTAATGATAGCAAGTAAGTAATAACAATTCACACTACAGAAAGACTGTTTCAACTTGTGCAGATTGTCAGGAATAAAAACCTGATCCGTAAGGAATGAGGCATTTGTGGTGATAGGTATGTCCTGAGGAAGGGCTTAGGTGAGACCACTGAAGGGGCGGGGGGAACTCATCCACCATGCAAGAACACAAAATAAACAGTCCTTAACTGAACTGTTGGCCTTGTTTTCACTGTGATTTCTGTTTGTCTGCTGTTAAGAAACAGACCTGCACAATAAAGCTAGCGTTCATGTGACTTTAGATCACTGTGATAAGCTCAGGATAGTAAGTCAAAGTTTATTGGAGAGGATTCTAAGCAAAACTGAAAGCAGGCTCCAGAATGGAAAGTGAAGCATGAGCATGTATAAAGATAGGCTGGGCTTTTAAAACTTGACTACAAATTAGACTCATGTCTGTTGACAAGGCCCAAAAGTCCTCTTCTGCAGTGTATAATAGCATGCTTGCCCATAGAGTATAAGCTGCCCAGATGGGAGAAGAGATGCACAGTAAAACTTTTTCTACTATCACAGGTGGTAAGTAAACTACAGTCTCTTCTGGATCCAAAGGCAATGTACATTTAGTTTTGAGTCTGTATTATTTTGAAAGGGGGAAATGATATATTGCAACTTTAGAAGTATCTTTTTGGGGACAAGACTTCGGTGGAAAATAAATACCTTGTTGCTGAGAGGTATTCTAGTTGTGTGAGGCTGTTACTATCCCTGCTATTGCTTCACTGAAATTGACCCTGAATTAATTCTGTATAATTAATTAACAGCTCAGGAAAACTCCTTTAGCTTAAAAACATCTTCCCCCCAGCATTTGAAGCTGACTATTTGGTTACAGTTCTAGAATTCTATGTTTCACAACCGAAGCAATAAAAAATATAAAGTATAGGCAGGCCTTCTCCCAGCTGGATTAAGAATCAAATGGCATTTACAATGTCTAGAACAAAAGTGAGACTTTAAGATGCTATCACAATATAAATGGTAGTATGACTAAAAATACGATGAATACAACAGGAGGTAGCTTAATATGAAAGAACTAATGCAATGTAGTAAAAAAAAAAAAGGCTGACTTAAGTTGCCAGGTACTTGAAGTTTCCTCACGTAGATAACATAACGAATAGAAAAAGACAGTTTTTAATCTTCTCATCATATTTTCCAGAACTAACAAGAAAGCCTTGGGAAAGAACAAATACAGTGAATGGAAGCAAGTCACCTGTTATCTCCAGGTACCCCCTTTTTTATCAGCTCTCTTCTCCTTATGTTTGCTATTGTTGCTCATGCTGCAAAGGATACTGGACTAAAATAGCAAAAATCACCTTAATAAAAACAAAGTATATGGGTTTAAAATTACTGCTGTGAAACTGGTTTTGGGAGTTGTAATTAAGAATGAAGAGCTGCTTTTGACGAATCCTAGTAAGTGAGATTTTTGACAGTAAAGTCAAAAGTAAAACCCAAAAAGATTCCTTAACAGTTGCTGGTGTATAACTTAAATTATTAAGGGGTATGTTTGCCTACAGCAATGTTTAATTCTTTCTATTTCTTTAAATTTTAAAGTCTGAAATTTCCTGCAAGGGAAAACCAGATTCCGTGCTGTGATTAATATATTCAGTAGTAAATCTAGTGAATAGGTTTTCTCCTTTCTATTTCTGTACTAGTCATAGAATGGTTATCTAGATATTTAAGCCATCTTGGTAAGATTTGATTCTGTGACAATTTTCAGTAGCTGTCACATATGAATCCAAGGAAGGTCCATCCTAAAGAAGTGTAGAAATATTATACATCCTTCAGTGCATTAACCAATCTTTGGTAACTTGTCAGCTGGAACTTTGGTAGGCAGTGGGCATTTTGGTAGACATTTCAGTAATGCAAAAGAGTGAAATGGCTGCTTTAGGGTTTTTATTTATTTATTGAGGTATATTTAACTGCCATTTACATTAAGAAGGCTCGTGGTTCATTTTAGAATTCCTGTATATTCTGCGTACAGAGGTTAAAGGATTATGACCTGTGATAATTTGACAAAGTTACCTGAATTTCTTGAGAGAAAACAAAAGAACATGTTAAACTTGAGAATGCTGTGTTTGAAATTACTTGAATTCTCCTTAAAATTCTGGTCTGTTGGAAACAGCTATGCGAGATTTGGTGATTAGAGAAGAAAACAAAACAGTTATTCTCTAAAGTGGGATCATTTGTGGTCGAGGTTGCTATCGAAGTTCTCAGTCCTAAAACGCAGCACCAAACACTCTGAGCCTATATCAGTATCCTTGTCTGTCTTTCAGAAAGATCTAAGTCCAGGAGCTTAAAATGTCTGCAGCCTTGATTCTGGTTGCTTGCTTTGTTTTTTGTCAAAAAGCAGGTGACATTGGTGGTGATGTCCTCTCTGCTATACTGTCAGTGTAAAAAAACTACTGCTTTACCTTTAGCCTTGACTTCCCCCTACCTTCTTCCCCCTCACCCCCCAGTAGGTCTTCCCTGCCTTAACCGAGGTCTCTTGTTTTCAAGCAGATTGAGGTGTCAATACATGGCATTGAGGGGGAACTTGTCACAGAAATAACTTGTGTAAGGATTCCTGAAGAACATTTTAGATTTCATGTTGTTTAAGACAGTTGCTGACCTGGCCCTTTGGCTATAGATACTCTATGGATAAGCAACTGAAGAAAGGAAAATGAAGGGATTAATAAATAGGGCAACTCCCCATATCAGACTGTTGGGGAGCCTGGGATGTCCTTAAGTCTTGATTCTGCCTGTCCCTACAGCTGTAGTTTCTTGTAAACTGTTTTTTTGCATCCTATTTCATTGATCTTGTTTCAACTGGTGAAATTCAGAGGTTACTGAGGTCTGTTCAAAAATGTTTTCTGATCTTGAGGAGTACAGAGGAGTTTTGAGACTTCTCTTGAGACGTACTGAGAAAATCTCTCCATCAAGCTTTTGTCTTCAGTCATCCAATGGAAAATGTTGATAGAGTTCAGGCTGATGAGAGCCTCACTGGGTGTATACTCAAAAAGTACTTCCAAAATAAGAATTCCATGTTTATCCAATGTCAGTATTATTTTCCAGTGCTGTCATAACCTGCTGGAAGGTGCCATAGCATATATTTTAAGACTGCTGGTACCGTTTTCTAGTCAGTGTTGACAGTTTGCCCTGCCAGGATGAGGAATGTTTCACGGACCAAGAAAGAAAAGATATTAGTAGAAGTCTCTCTTGAATATCCTTGCATTTTTCTTAATTCTCTACAGTTGCCAAGTCTATCTCAGCAAGCAGCTTGTTAAAGTAACTTTCTTTGAGTGAGTTAGTCAAAGGATGCTGCTATTTGAAACACTAATACCATGTTTGCCAAAAGGGGATATCTTTCACCTGGTAAGGCTCAAGAACCTGCTTCTGACCTCTACAGAGAGGATATGAATCGTTTACGGGGATTAAACAAAGCATACCTAATAAACTGGCAAGTAAGCAAAATTTTGTCTTCAGAGCTTCCAAACAGGTAGACAATGAAGGAGTTGTTATTCAGAATGAATGTTCTAAGTATTTTAAAATAACTAGTGTCCTGTTTAAAATCAGGCCTTTTTTTTGTAGCAGACTTTGAAAAGACTTAAGCTATGTGCTTTTAGTATTTCCTGAAACATTCAAAATGAACTCTTGGAATGCAAGTAGTGAAACTCTATGGTATTTAAGGTGCTAAAACTGAACAAAAATAAGACCTGTTATAGCTTGTTAAGGTAGTGTTTCTCCCCTTCATAGACGGGAATCTCCATGGAAAAATCTGCTTGCTTCTGAAAACAGGTTCTATGATTCATTAAACAGGTATCATCCTGTTGGGATTTGAGACTTTGTAATAACCATTTTGACCAGTGCAGGGTTGGACTTTTTCTACATGGATTGGTAATCACCACATGCACCACCAGGTTCCTCTTCACATTTTGTTTGTCCAGTTGAGCCCATTTTTGGACTGGTTAAAAGCAGATGGTGTCAAAAGCAAATTGAGATGGCTTAAGAACTAGCTATGAATTCATATTAAATACTGGTTTTCTGGCAGTCGCCACCTGCAAAGGTACAAATTCCTGTTGGACATACCAGGATTTAGTGAACCACTTGCAGTGTTTTGAGAAGCAGGTTTTCAAAAATGTAAGTTTAGATACACAGGAATAGGAATTAACTTCCCAGGTGAGTTTTCACATCTGCTTTTTGCATATTAAGTAGAGATAACAAAGAGATAAAAAAGGACTTGTTAAACATAAATTAATCTTTTTATTGGGAACATATTCACAAGTTAGAATTAATGTGTATTTTAATCTGTAGATCCCAGTTTCACGCTCTGTAGTGGTACTTATAAAATACTGACATTGACAGCATTCAGGTTTTAAGAGCTTTCCACAGGTAAACATATTACAGAGCCCCTCAGAATTACTGAGTCAAGTTCCAGCTTTGTTTTTCATGAAGGCACTCATTGTGGTGACTACTTAATCTTTTGTATGAAAAGTTCCCCTTTTAGCTACTTATCTTGGGTGGTGTATTCTGCATGTTGGCATGAATAAAATCTTTATCTTGCATGCTTGATTTAAGGTGTTTTAGGGATGATCGAGGTTGCCTCACTGTCCTGTTAGGCAATGCTATGAAAAACCACATGGGAGAGCTCTTTAGCCATCTTAGGGTTGAATGGTTGGGATGTTTTATTCACTAAATTTCAACAGTTAGTGTTTTTCTTAATGGCAACTGTGTTCACCATTAATCTTTCTTCTGAGCAAGTAGAAGGAGGAGAAAAAGGAGAATTGGGGGGGGGGGGGGGGG